TATATATATATATTTTACAACTTCTATAAAATCGAAAATACATTACACTATTTGTCTGCAGTCTGAATTTGAATGTGTGCTATTTACTAGCTTTATTAGAGAATATTAATGTAGTATAATGGCAAGAAATAAAAATATATCAAAAACTCAAAAATTATCGTTATAAAGTTGAATTACATGACGATAAGAGAATTAACGAATGAACGAAACAACTCACATTGCTATTCCAGCCAGTGCCTTTGAAATTTTCTGAGGATAGCTGCTGACAAAATTCACTGATTATTTTCTCAGCTGCTTCCGGTGTAAGTACAACAATAAGCGATGATATTGAATTCAAAATCATTTCCACTTCTTTCTCGCTTTCTAAATTACCCAAAACAGCGACTGACTTAACCAGTTCTTCCAAATTTTCACTAAAATCTGCAGGTCCTGAAAATCACAATTGCCTTTCTTAGCGTCATATATGTATGATATGTATATGACGTTAAGAAAGGTAACGAATAATATTACGAATTCTTTATTACCTTTATTACATTAAAAATGTTAACAAACCTTCTTCATTCATTGAGGAGCCATGCTCTCTCATATACGCACGCAATTGTTGTAATTGTATTCGATCGTCCGTAAATGCAAACACAGGCAGAGCTTTCGTGTCCGCCATTCGTGTTTAACCGCTGAAAGAGAATTAAATCATCCCATCAAATAAAATGAACTCAAATATACCGAAAGAAAACATCAACCACCCATCTCACCTTTCATACATCAAAACTTCTAAGGTCAACAATTCGACTCGCTTTGAAATTTGCAAATCTCTCTTGTGGCAAGTGATCTAATCTTATATCTCTCTTACAAGCTATGTCTCTTTGGATTTTTACTCGAAGCTGTTGTAATCTGAACTGTCTGTTGAAGTTGTACTCATTTTTGATTGCGATTTCGATAGTTCAAATTTTATAAAATTTGTGGATTTATGCAAAAAAATTTATGAGTTCCTGTTATAACAGAAATTAAAATTTGGTTATGAGGGGAAATATTAAACATTTATGAATAAACAAAATACACCGCATCACATGCTAGGGAAAAGTGAATTGCAAGAAAGTGGACAAGCGAGAAATTCTACGATTACTTTTATCTTTTTACTATTTATTGCCTTTACTGTTTCTTCAATCTCAAGAAAAATCTTTATAGCATTTTGCAGCAGGAATAAAATGAACTCCCGTTTCATTTTTTCATCCATTTCATATACATTTCTAAAAACGACCAAACAATATTCCCAATCTTTAAGGAGCTATTCTGAATTAGTGACAAAGAAATGGATGATAATTTCGTGTGTATCATTACTTCAAAAAATGTCAACGCTCGTGGACAACGGTTAAATCGTGCTGTGCCATCAATAGAGTATGATATAAACAGCCCAGATCATATCAACGATGTTTGGAGGTCGACCTTATAATCTCAACAATCTCTCAGTATGAAAAGAGAAGTACAAGATTTCGCCTGATAAAGAATAAACATCGAATATATGTCTTTTTAATTAATTTTATTAATTAGAAAGATATATATTCACTTCAAATAGCCTATTTAGTTGTACAACCTCCGCAAAGCATGCCAATATCAGTTTGTGGCTATTCATTCGTAGCTATGGCTACTGGTCAGCTATAGCAAAAACTTCAGTTTCCAATAATCGTATTCATTTCACTTCTATTGTTACGATTTCTGTTTGTTCAACAAAAACAAAAACATAACAGATCACCCTCCGACTCTCAAACCATCAGTTAAGCTTAATGCCTCATGGGTAACTAGCTGTCAGTCCTTTTTCTTTGTCTACTGCTCCACTCCGAATTTAGAAGTCATTGGCTGAACCACAACTGAACTACTCTTTAATCTTTTACCAATTTCATACTACTTTATTTGCTAACATCATCAACCAAATAAGATCTTGCAATAACGACTCAACAATCAAATAGTATTTGATGACCGAAATCATCGATATGATTTGGACTATTTCTTCAAATATTCATACTCCATTAACGTGGAAGCAAATTTTAATCTATGATCTATGTGTAGAGCTTAACAGCAATTTCTGGAGCAGCAGTACACTTTGAACAGCATCACCTACATTTTTGTTACTGTCATTGAATATGACTTCGAAGGATACGAATATCTATTTATTTCCTGGACTGTATATGAAACGAATGATGAAAGACGCCAGTGACTAAGATTCAATGAGACAGAAACATTTCTCACTGAATGCTGCAGTTCAATTCATATAGCATTGTGCTAAGAATATTATAATTTTTCTTAGAAATGATCATCGTCATCGTCAGGAAAGTTAGAACATCTGTGAATGAAATTATAATTGGATCCATGAAAAAACAAATAATTAATACTGCGTTTATGAAGTGAGATTTTATTTTGGAAACTTTCAAGAACTTTTGTACAAATTCAATAAAAGAAAAGATATTTATGTATTAACAAACCATTTATGAAAAAAAATTTTGTAATCAGTAGTTACATTCTACTTAACAAGATAAAAAATACACCTAACAATATCCATCCAATAATTATCTTTCCTCAGATTTTGGCAGAATTTCCGACAAGCCAATTCCTTTCGGCAACGGAATCAATCCATTTATCATATCCTGATGCTTTTCTTCAGCCCATTTCCGGCGTTCGTCACGAGTCCAGCGCGGTACAACATCATCGGCCATTAACCGTATCATGGTCTAAAAAAAATAAAAAAAAACAATCATATGGTAATTTATAATTAGCTTAAGATATGTTTCATCCACGATCAAACTTGTGGTTTAATCACAAATGAAGTATATCTTGAGCTAATTAAAAGTTACAGTTTCTATCAAGAATGTTCACGTTAAATGAGGACTTTTTTTAGCTTTAATAAAATCATCGCCCCTGCACTTACTTCAAAAAATAAAGATTAATAAAAAATTAAATGAGTACTTTATCCCTATTTCGGAAACGGTGTTTGAGCGCCTCGGCAGCAAGATGATTAGGGAGATTTGCATAGAAGGGAACTTGCTTTTTGATCAGTGGCAAACGTCCTTCGCCATAAAAATCATTTAGTAATAATTTCTGAAAATATTTTATCAGTTATCTGATTTGTGAGAATAAAAGAATAAATAAACTAAGTCTTTTTATAAAAAAGTGCTAAAATTTCTTGCAACAAAACTTTCTACCACTGATGTCATATAGATAATGTAATTAACAGTTATGCTCACTTCTTTCGGTTCAATATCTCGCTCTGTTCTTAATTCTGACTGCAACGGAGAAGCGACTTTGATAGGAAAATATCTTCTATGTGGAGAAAGTTCAACAACATGCAACTTTTTGCGTTCTGCAAGCTGTTGATGAGTTTCTTGGTTTAAAAGACCTGAAACTATCATATGAAATACAAATAAAGCAAAGAAAATAAAACAAGCAGACCCAAACAAAATACAAAGACTCATTTTTCGGAGTTACTTTCTCAAAATGATTACAAATTATTCGCTGTAAATCTTTAAAGACTAAAAATGAAATTCAGAGAAACCTAAGTTATGATAAAACAGAAAACGTGAAAGCACATGCACACTGAACCAAAAAATGGAAAAAATCTCGAAAATCATCAATATCGTTAATCAAGAACTACAAACAGTCTTGCACAAATTTACATCACTCCGGATTATGTGGAACTATAAATTGTTCATGTATTATTGTTTCCAGCAGAGAAATCACTTTATTTATTTCAATTTATTCGCTGTCCTTTTTTGCTATTAACGAAGCTCGGCCTTACACACAACATAAGGAACAAATACAAAAGAATGAGACCAACTGAAATTCTATACACCCAGATTGCACAGCAAAATTTTAAGCATGATTTTCTGTTTTTATTTTTTCTTTAATTAAAAAGAGTTATGTAACAAAATATTCTGCAATTTTCATTAAAAACAACACGAACTGACCTATAAAGAAAGCATGGGTGAGCGCGATGTAATTTTTGGTAGAACCCACCACCTTACATTCAAGGTCTTTGATACCAAGTACCTGAAAACTCCCTTATAATAAAATTTTCCATATAAAAATAAGATCACCATATGCGAATTTTCTAATTCGAGTGATAACTAATAAATGACAAATAGTGATTTGAGGAGTTGCAACAAGTTTATTAAAAGATGATGAGAATGGTATCATGTTAGAAAAATTTTTCAAAAACAGACATTACCTCACAAATTTTTGTGATTCTCGGATGAGCAACTACACCAAAATCTTTTGGCCTTCTTTGAGCAAAAATACGAGTACCACGACATTCGGCATAGAAATCTTGATAAATTGTACGGTTCTCTAAAAGTTCCACGTACACCAATTTTCTTGATGCCATCTTCATGCCGTTTACAATAGCACGAACATGATGCTTCAGACCAGCTTTGCCAACTGCATAACCACCAAGACCATTTCCGTTACCAGTAACAATTAAAGCTGACATCGTGTGTTGTCGACCGTATGATGTCATATTTGTGATTCTTCGTAACTGCGATAAGAAGAAAACAGAAGTTTATATAAATTTAACATGATAGTCAAAAAACAGAGATTTTATTGCACATTATCAGGATCCATTATCACCGCCATTAATATGAAAATTATAAAATACTAATAGTTGGCAATACTATTACTTTAAAATAGCAGCTTTGTTGTCGTTACATATTATTTTTTAACTTATCCAATTTTTCGATCCCCTTCATGATGCCAAAATCGAAACATGTCTTTTCAAACTTGCTAATTGGATCTATAAACAAAACATACCTGGAGACAATAAGTTTGAAATTCGTCGAAATGAATATCATCAACTGGCGGTGGTGGACCCAATTTTTGACCTTCAATTCGGGTTCCAGCAAAACCTCGTTCCAGTGGATGTAACTTTTCTTTCACTCTTTTTTTCCTACAAAATTTATGATTTGAATCTGGAAGTTTAAGTTATAATCTGAAAAAATAAAACAAATTACTTAACAATTTCATCATTTGAATTTATATTTGCATTATGACAAGAAATACTGACGAAGGTCGGGTGGCTATGATATTTTTTAGACGTTCTTCAACCGCATCGATTTCTTCCTTTGTTTTCTCCATCACCATCATTGGTTCATCACTTGGTACAATTAGCGGAGCATTCAGACCAGGATACTTTACTTTTATAGGACCTGAAGAGTCCACTTAAATGAATTAGTTCTCAGTAAACATAATGAATTCCAACATACAAAATGAATACAATCAGCCTACCGGCACCGATGCGGTAAAACTTTTGAAGGTTTAAAACACTTTGACGAGTTTTGGCTCGCCCTTTCTTAATACCAGCTGGCGAAAGTGATGTAACCGTCTTCCACAATTCTCGAGCAGGTTCTAAACATCAGAATCAGTAAGTTATCAACTTCATATGAATGAAGAGCACAGTAACTTATAAAGTCAATTACAGTTTAATTCCCTCTCCCAACTACCGTTATAGAATTTTCATTAAAAACATTCAAGCAAATGCACACTTCTCATGAAAAAATTGACTGTATTCTGTCGTATTTGTGTAAGCGGGATTAGCGACGCCATCTCGCATAGAAAGCAGTATGAAACCTGAAGTCTGAACTATCTCAACACTTCGTACTACCAAAATGGCATCATACTACCTATTTTCCATTATAAACTGAAATAAAATACAACGGAATGTAAACACTCTAGCAATCATATATCTCATATGGAACACGTCATGGAATTTGGTAAGAGAAGTTCTTAAATTAACTGTTTTTTACCTCTGCTTGTTTTTCATGCAATAATGCATAATCTAAAGTATGATAATTTAAACAGACGTGCAATCTGCGACATACATGAATTATTTGTACAAATAACTGTATACAGTTTTAAGCTTTCCACACAGTTTAATACAGGTAACAATATATATGCATATGATACCTCGAATTACCTTTTCTATGAAAATTATTTCATTACGGAAATTTTATTTGTTATAAATAGTGTGCCTCCTAAAACCAATAAATGATAAAAATGATGAAACACAACAAAACAGATGAATGTATATGAGATTAAAAAACAACCAAAATCACTGATAGAAAATGAATAAGAAATAAATTAACACTGTTATGTGTTAAAAGTACGATGCATTACCCGTATCCGCTAACTTTGTTTAAAAAAATGTACAAAAAAAATGATTAAAAAAATTCCCACCCCGATAATATAAGATTAATACAAACATTATACCAAGACCAAGGCTGTCATGTTGTATTTAGGAAACACTGGATAACTTTTTCCTTCAGGAATTAGCCTTCATATCTGAACAATGCAGCCAGGTAAAGGATAGTCCATAACGTACATCATAGGTTTAATCTTGCATTTTAATAAAGAGAAATGCAATGGGAAAATTGCAAAAGAAACAAATGAATAAAAATCTACAACACTGCATTTCCGCAAATACTACAGTTATGCCATGTTTTCAAAAGATTGAAGAGGAGATCTGCAAAGCATCTGCAACTTGAAGATGTCTCAATGCACAAATCCCACAAGCCTTTGCCTTCTATAACCGATCCACAACATAATTATTAAGCCAATAAATAACGTTATAGCATATAAGTCCCAGTTCGCACCGAAGACATAATCGAGCATTGTCACAAAAGAATTCTGAAAAATATCTAGTTTCATTTTGTAGTTAATCATAACCTGGAAGCAATAAAATCCCCAAACGAATTTAGCATAAGAAAACCAATATTAAACTACTTTTTCCAAAATCAACAGCGTATAATACCTGGAACTTGAATGATAAAAACAATAAAGAAAGTACAAAACCTTATCCAGCACTTTTTCCAATGATTTAAATATTCGTGCGAAGTATTTTCAAACCAACCTCTTTAAGATGTTCCATGAAGAAGAGAGCGGTAAGTTTCAAAAGAGCGAGACTAACTGGCATATATGCATCTGCACTTGTTTCTGCTGCCATATCATAAAATCGTTTCGCCAAATGCATATCCTGAAATACGTTAAATAACTAAATTCTGAAAAAATTTAGTCATTTATTTGTAATTTTATTATTGAATATGCTATCTGGAGACACTGAAAGATAATAAAAAATGAAAATAATTCATGAATATCACACAGCTTTATGCTCAGCAATGATCTGACAATAAACTAGGAATGCAGAGCTGTTACATGTCATGTCATGAATCGAACTTAAATAAATTTTTGAAATATGTAGAAATAAAAATAAGCTGTTGAAAAACAAACCTTATTGATTCCAAGACCTTGTTCATGCATATAACCCAAATTGAACATCGCCTGTGCAGCCTGATGTCGGTCACTAGCGATTTTATATTGTGTTGCTGCCATTTCATAATCAACAGGAGTACCATAACCGTAATAATAATAATCTCCCAATTTTATGCGAGCGTAAGCATAATCCTGATTCGCGGAACGTTGCCAGTGAAGTAAAGCACGTTGTAATGCCTCTTCACTTGGAAACAGATTTGATTCTCCTAAAAATTAGAAGAGCTCTTGAAATTTCAAGGAGTGCTTTTAAGAAATCTATGAAACTAGCAAAATGATAAATTCATGACAGAATCATTAAAATCGATAAGTATTTTTTTTTTTTGCTCTATATTCTTTACAGAGTCATTTAAAAACTTGCCACGATCGATAATATAGGCAAAATTGGTCTGTGCTGGTTCATAACCTAGTTCAGCTAAAAAGAGATACTTAAAGGCAGCTTCATCTACCCGCCCACTACGATAACTTGTATACGCTTCCATGAGACGCTCTGACCAACGCCCTCGTTCAGCAACATTTTTGTATAATTCAACAGCTGTATGGCAATTCCGAGGCACACCAGTACCTGAAAAATTATAAAGCGGTACACTTCATAAAGAACTGAAAGAAAGGTGAAACAAAAAATCGTTTTATAGAGTCAAATAACAAGTTCAGAATGAAAATAACTGAAATTGACAAACCTGTAGCATGAATTTGTGCCAGATTAAAATATGCATTGACATGCCCTGACTGCGAAGCCAGCTGAAAATATTTTATGGCTAACTTGAAATCCCTCTTCACACCAAGTCCTCCTGCAAATATATCGACATTAAAAAAATCAAGATAACATGAACTCTGTTGTAAGCAGTAGCTGACCATTTATAGCTATTTCAACTATAAATTTTTCATTTGTTTTTAACGCTTTTCTTTGTTTTTAACAAATATTGTTAAAAACAGAGAAAAGATATTGAAGCTTCACTTTATTGCCTTTTCCTAAGTTAAATTATTCGAAAAATATGACAACAAAAAGCTAAAAATAACAATCTAAAACGCATAATGCTGAAAATGAAAGAATAAAACTTACTGAAATGAAGATAGCCCAAATTCAATTGTCCATCAACCCACCCTTGTTCAGCAGCCAAAGTGAACAATTTCGCAGCCTTGGTATAATCCTGTTTCACCCCTTTACCATACATATACATTATGGCTAGACCACTTTGTCCAACTGGATTCCCCTATAAACCATAGCAAATGTTTATTGGTAGCTCAAATTGTCATTATACACAATACAAAATACATGATTAAATCGAAACACATCACAATACCTTATCTGCTGCCTTTTTAAAAAATTGAAAAGCAGTAGCATTATCCTGAGGTGTCGCTGATGTGCCATCCAAATACATTTTTCCCAGATAAGCATATGCATTGGTGCTGCCTGCTTGAGCAGCCGTTGAAAAATACTGACTGGCTAAATTCATGTTTTGCTCTACGCCTCGTCCACCAGTTAGATATAATTGACCAAGGCTAACCTTAAACTTCCATCAGTAATCATCGTAGAATGTAATGCGTGAAACATATGCTAAACACATGCTGGAAATTTTATAATGAATTCGGTAATGAATACACTATTTTTCGCTATTTTTCACCATATGTGACCTCGTATTGCTAAAATTATGATAAAAAATTTTTCCTAAGGCGTTATTTCTCGAGTAGATTAAAATGTTGGAAAAGCAATAATGACCAAGTGTTATTTTTGGGGCAAATTATTAACAATATCGTCAAGAGCAGAAGAATCCAGAATCACACTTGATTCATCACTGTTTCAAGTTTTAATTTATTAGAAAAGCGGCAACTTAACTTTCCTGAATGAGTATCTAAACTGAATGTCTAACAGAATGGCATCAACAAACGCGACTCTAGTAAATATAGCAGTCATATATATGAATAGTCTCCACGTCTAACTTTTTTCAAATAAAAACATAAGTTAACAAATAAAAACATAATTGCATCATACCTTTAACAACCAAAAACATCATATTCAGTACAAAGAATACTTACCTGTGCTTGTAAATCACCTTTATCTGCCAAGTATTTGTAATAATTTAACAAGTTAGAGTCGAGAATTGAATTAGATGAAGAACTGACAGTATCCTGAAAAAACCTTAGTCAGGAAGAAGAAAGACAGAAATGTTCAGTAGAAGGAAACTTCAAAATTTACGTTCCCAAAATGTAAAAATTTTGGAAAATTAAAAGGAAAGAAAACTTGATCAAGACCAAATATTTAAAACCTGTTCATCAGGCAATCGTATTCGCTGCATTGCTGTACCACCTGAAATGCGGACTTGCTCATTTACACGCTGAGCTACTTTTCTATACCAAGTAAGTGCACGCTCACAATTCTGTTGCACAGAGATACCTGACCAATGCCGGTAACCCTAAAATTAGCAAAGAACTGAAATTAAGAAACAAGTTCAGCATGAACAATCAATGAAAACAATCCATAGCAATGAAGAGACATTAATTTATTTCAATCGAAGTTGAAAACGAAAAACAAAGTACAAAACGTACTAAGGCCATCTGAGCCAAAGGATTTCCACCCAAAGCAGAGAAGGTGTAATAAATTAGCGCTTTTGCTTGCGAAGACTCCGGAACACCCAAACCAGTAGCATGCATGAATCCTAATGCTAGCTGTGCATCAGCTGAGCCACCTGCTGCCAGTTCTTCAAATATTGCTCGTGCTTCATCAATATTCCATCGTGTATAATCACCAAACAAGTATGCATAAGCTAGAAAATATAATCTATTATTCCTACGGTAATTTGTCAAACTGCAAAGAAACTTTTAAGTGTGAAATCAAACCTTTGATCAAGAGTAATAAGATAAAACAATAAAGAAGTCAAGAAAAAGATCGTTTCATAATTGGAAACAATATTACTTGCATCAACATTGCAAGATAATTAAAAATGAGTGTGAATATCTCTGTGTTTTTATATTTGTTTTAAACTAAATTACATCCAGGTAACTGTCCATAAAAAATAATACAGGTCTATATATAACGCACCAATTAACTTCATGGCCTCTTTGTGCTTAAGCTGTGCAGCTTCATCCAGAAGTCTGTATGCAGCTCTTTTAGCTTCATTCGAAGCAGCTCGCCCCTTATCCAGGAATCGCATTGCTGTGCGGTATAATTCATCTCCTCTTTTCTCTGCTTCTGTTTGTTCAGCTTCACTTCTATAAATAAACTCAAAAGTCAAACCATGCAATTAATAAAGTGAACTTGAATGAATATCCTTATTCAAATCTCTAATTGTCAATCTTTCTTAATATTTACCGTTCCGTCATTTTTTCTTTTGTAAACTCATCGCCAACTGATGATACTGTGGAAACTTCGAGCGCTGCGTTCGACATTCTTTCAATATCATCATTTGTGATGTCATAAGTCGCTAAAAATAGGAATCTCAAGTAGAAAAATCGCTTTTTTTGCCATTGTGCATATCGAATAAAGAAAAGTATCACTTCATATGTAAATTAATAAACGACAAAATAAACCAAATATGGATACCAGGCGACTGCTTTTGGCTAACTGCATCCATCGTTTCTCCTTCGTTATTTAGCAGCACTAATCTATCGGTGGTTCGTTCTTCCTGAAAGTCATCAAAAACTTGGAAAAATAGATAATCGAAAAACCATTTATACAAGAATCACACAAAAATAAACTTAAAATCAACTTAGCTTAGATCGTGAAACTTAAACAGTTAAACATCATGAACTGGAAAAATCTTACTGCTATATTACTGAATCTTTAGCGGAAACTGAAGAACCTTCTTTTCGGATCCCTCGTCTTCAATATCAGTGTTAGAACTGTCGTCTTTTAATGGTGGAGAATTCGGTTTAATTGAAAATAAAAATGGTAAAGAAATTAGCAAAACTGTAATCCACCTCAATATCATTATCGTAGAACCTGTAAAACAAAAACGCATTAGCATACAAGCCACCAGACCGTTTAACAGATCGAAAGCGAAGAGATGCTATTTGTACATTAGCGTTGAACAGAATGAAATATCCAAGCTTTCACGTCCTTCCACAGCACATCTGAGACGCTTAGTCTCACTGTGGTCCCTACCACTCCTCAGCAAATATTTTTCCAGCGTGGTAATTTTCAGAGAGAGGAAGGGAAAAGTGAAAAAATGCCGTATATTTCACAGATGGTATGTGTGTTTTTTATCATCAACGACTATCCAAACAGGTAAACATTTGTTGTCACTACTTTAGAATGACACTTCATGGTAGTCCTGCAAAGCAGGTTTCTCCCGAGAGTTCTTGTCTAGCATGCCGTCACCCCGCCCAACCATCCAACAACAATCCCCAGCGGTCATACAAAGTACTACGTCAACAAAATGATTCCGCGAACGAGTAGACTTATTGCTGCAGCACAATAATTTCATGTCCATAATGATTGCTTGAATGTTTTATTAACTTTGTGATCGGGATATCTCGGAGAACGAGAGTTGGAATTAGTGATTGTATTATCAAGGAAAAATTATTCGCGTTCACTTCATTCTATATTGCACTATATTGCTGACTAATGAATGTTTTTTTTTTATTTTAGGAAATTTAAATTCGCATTTGGAAATTCAAAAACTTCTATATTTGGACTGTAAAGACACTATAACGAAATATTTGATTTTTTTTTTTGGAGCACTTCCACACGTCTTTTAGCGTAAACGCAAACCCTTTTCAGAAACGTCATTGCAAATTCATTCCATTACACTCTGTTATTAAAAAATCAACACAGTGATGTTATTAGTTATTAGTGAACATTCAATACTTTTTTCGCTTTTTACGTAATTACTCACGTAACCATTTTAGCAGTCACAATCGAACTCGAAATTGCCCCTTTCGAACTTTAAGACACAGTATTGTCAGTACTATAATTTTCAATTTAAATATATATCTGAACGAAGCAATGCAAAACGAATATGTAATTTCTTTGACAGTTTTTGTTGTCCCACGATGCATCCCAGAAACTGAAAACTTTAAATATTATTAAATTGATACTTAACCTAAATAAGTGCAAAAAATACTCTTACTTTTAAGGAAAGTTTTTCTCTTCTTATGAATGATGAAATTCGTTGTATTTCCGTTACTGTTTATCTGTTCTTTGTTTTTTAATTGAAATTAAATGGCACAACTAAAAATACCAAGTTTGGAATAATAATGTTCTATTGGAAGTGCTTTTCAGATATATGCGGTGAAATTTTTGAACAAATGTATTGTTCTCGCCAGAGGCATTAGCAAAACTCTGAAGAGGAAAAGAAGTTGAAGAGACGGATGTCGCGATGTGAAAAAAAACTTATTGACAGTGGACGGATAGCAACGAATTGTATTGTAAGTATATGAATGAAGCAGGGAGCTGGGAACGGAGACCGACAGTCGAATGGACAATATCACGTGAATGCTTGAGCAGTCTTAGTGTGCTGCTTTCAGTATTGGTTAAATATTCATGTAAATAACATTTTGGGAAAAGAAATTCAAACTGACACACATACATCGGGAAGAAAGAAGAACTGATATGGGTAACGGAGAGTTGGAAAAGGACCGCTTGTGATTATTTATCAAAATGAAAAATATTCCATACAACTTGGCAATTATTATCTATGGTTCCTTGATGAAAAATTAATGAAATAGCAAAAATAATCGTACAGGTGATGTCGATTTCTTCCAAATGCATGTAAATTTGCCATGTTCTTTGATTTCGTAGGTAATATATAGTAATGATGCTTTTCGAAAAGTACTACTATTATCATACTTCGAACTGAAAAGTGGCATTCTAAACTACTATCCCAAACATTCAATTCAGAGATGCATTGACATCATCTAAAAGCACTATTGATTTTGCAAATATTAAATTTGGTGATTGGTACAATCTTTTTCTCTGTTATAACTTGCTTTCCTTGCAAAGAGGATGATTAAATAAGCGCTTATCAACTCATTTCTTGAAATCTTTTTCTATTTTTCTTCAAACTTTTCAGAAGATACGAATTGAGTCTGTTCTTTCGGCTGTCGATTTAAGTCCTGTAATCAAAGGATTTCAAGAATTTAGTTTGTCACTTTTAGGGAACTCATGTTAAAATTTATTATTTATTGAAAATCATATCGATTGTTATACAGTCTTACACAATGCTTCCCTTTGCGTAAATTTTTAATGGAAAAATAATGAATAGATAAATGAATAAACAAGAAGTAAATTAAAAGTATATTCATGAAATAGCATCAACTTGTATCAGTAAAACATTTTGAATTTACTCCTGCTTTTTAAATTATAGTAAAGTCTAAACTGCAGTAAATTTGATTTTAAGTGATGATGGATAATAGTATCTTGCTTGATTTATCATTATTACTATTATTGTTTTGGTTTATCATTATTATTATTATTGTTTATTATTACTCATCATTACTACCTTTTTCAGTTTGAATGTTTTGAGTTTCGTGTTTTTCATTTTAATTTTCAGAACTTGATGCAGTCGATCTATTCAGATCTCAAGCCTAAAACTATCTTATTTCAAAATAAGATATTTATTATTTTTAAACATTGAAAAATTTCGCCTAAATTTTCCGACAAATTTAGCTTGATTTGTCATGCTATGATATTGATAAAAAGTATTTTAAAAAAATTTCTTTCCTTCTAATACAAAATATTACTCGCACTTGTGAAACATTGTCTTGCGAATCAAGCAGTTGTTTGGCATTTGTTAATTTATCAATCAAACCAAAGCATTAAATCGCTCGATTAGCAGAAATTTTTTAAAAAATGTTAGTCAACATCGAATTAATAAATAAGAATGTCTAATTAAATTGCTGTGACATTCCATATGTTTATCTCCTGTGATCTTACTTCATCCGGAATCCCTAAATTTGAGTATATTCATGGCAAGAGTGGCTGTTGGAACTTTATATATAT